GACGAGTAAATATGGAAAGATATGAAGGGAGAGAAAGAGCAAAGGGAAAGCGAAAATAACCGAGGGAAGAGGGAGAAAGTATCACCAGAAGATCGATAACAAGTAGAAGAAAGGCAAGATGGAGACGAAGATGTGAAAGATGTATAGATAGCGATGCAGGCAGAGAGAAAAAAAAACAGACGGAGAAAGAGGAGAGGAGCGAGCGAGGCATGAGACGTGGAAGTGCCTGGGTCAGCTGATTCCTGTAGCCAATTGGGCAGAGCTCCGAGCCTCGAGTTTCTTCCATCAGTCTTCCCATCAAACACAGGTACACACAAACACATGAATGCGCGCAAACACACATCCACCGACAAACAGGGAACATCAAAACCAAACTCGAGCTCTGTGACTCAGCGCAGCCTCTAGCATAAACACTCACACAAACTCTCCCTCTCTTCTCCTCGCTGGTGCTCAGCTGTCATGCATTATTAATCCCTTCCACTTTTCAACACGCAAAAAAACCCCACGAAAAAAGCCTCGACACAGTGTGGACGTCAGGAGGAAGCACATAACATATTCTTACTGCACAAAGCACTGACAGCAGGAGCAAACTCATGGGGTAACTTAGGCAGATCCACTCAGAGACACACGCAAACTTGAGGCGTGTGCGAGAAACCAGCAAATTGCTTGGACCCACTGCACCTTTGTAAGACATCTCTCACTGCCCCTCCTCTGATGCAACGTGCTGCAATACAACTTATTGTTCCCGATCCACCTGAGTGTATGCGCGCGCGCGTGTGTGGATTCAATGTTTTATGTGTGTCTTGGTTAAGGCCAGATTGGTTGCCAGGCAACACTAGGCAGCCTCAATAGGGAAGCTGTAGATTCTTCTTAAACAAGACAAACACACATACGCACAAAAATAGAGTTTGGAGGGCAACTGGAGTGATTTGACTTGCACAGACGAGCAAACGCCCGTGCTGCGGTATATCGAGCATATAGTGGGTCTGACCCACTTCTCATGCTGACTGCACTGCATAGCTCCACATCCCAGATTCAGCACTCACATCAGTAAATCACAGGCGCAGGAACAGTTCGCTTAAATCACATACACATTGAGAAATTGAGCAGTGAAGAGTGTGAAAAGAAAGGCCCTGTGACAGCACTGTCACTCTGCAGCACTATCCCTCCAGCTCTCATATCCATTATTGATGCCTGAGGCTTAGCTCACAGCTCTCTGCGTTCTATTATTTATGTCTGAAACAGCTGGCGGTTTATACACAGAGGAGCTAGTCTCTGTGGGAGACTGGCTGGGAGAGAAAGAAAGCAAGCAGCGGGTAGTGGGGCTCACTATCTCCATGGCAACTTGTATCACTTAGAAAAAAAAAATAAAATCTTTTTTTTCAGTGCTGCTGGCGCACAGTTTTATAACACAGGAGAACTGCAGCACACAGACGCCCACTAAGAGCCTGATAACATCTCTGTAGTGATCTGAACAATAGAGGTGTCTGCGGAGTACCTGCTCACAATGTATCCTCTGACATTAGCATCGACTCTTCAGCTGCTGCCGCTATAATAATGCCACAATAACAATTATGTGTTTCTATTGTACCATTTGCATCAGTTTACATATTATGGGAAAGCTATTACATCCTCCACTGGCACAAACAATTCTCCTGCAGTAATTTAGAAGGGAGGGACCACTTAGCGGTAAATTTGCCATCTAGTCTATTTCTGTGATTGTGCTGGAGCAAAAAGTGAGCCTTCTGTCTATTAAAGACAAACAAACAGTGCTGCAGGGCAAATAAAAACCTATTAATCAGGAAATTAATTAGGAAAAGTGCCTATGGTATTTCCTGGAGCAAAAGCTATGTTTTTTTTAAAAGATATTGGACTTTTCAGTTTTGTGGCCCCATACAAAGATGGACATAGCCTGCAGGTCTGAAAACTACATTCTTTGTAATAAACAGCAGGTGGCGACTAACTTGGTTGCAATGATATAAATAAATTTATGGCCTCAGTGAACATTTGATGAATTTATGTTGTAAACTGCTTGTCAAAGGTTTTATTCAATACATGTTTTTTTTTTTTTTTAAAAACTGGCTCATATTTAGAGTAAAAAGACAATAACACAGACTCATTTAAATAGACAATTCTTCAATCCCCTCCTTTCACTCCTGAGGTAGATGGCTGCCTCTTCCTGAGCCTGTTTCTGCACGAGGTCTCTCCCTGTTGAAAGGGAGTTCTTCCTTCCTGCTATTGCCAAGTGCTGCTCATAGGGTTCGACTGGGTTTTGGCATTTTATGTCTAATCTACCTTGCAATTGTTGCTGTTAAATAGCACTACAGAATACCATATCTTGCAGTGCCAAGGATAGCCAACATGCTCAAATCAAAGTTTTAAAATGGGAAACTCCAGGGTGATATCACAGTGGCTATGTCCAACTTTTATATACAGTCTGTGGCTGTAGCAGACTTATAGATGATAAGACTTGTTCAGACTTTGATTCCCTTTAAAGTCAGGTGAAAGACTTTGATGCTGGAGTATCCTAATGCTCAAGGGGCCTAAGGAGCTGACGCTGTAATTATAATATTTACCATCTGAGTTTTATCTGGAAACTTTTTTATGCTATACACCCTGTCAGATTACTGCTATGCATGAGAAAAATACCAATTTTTTTCAGTCCTCATCTGCCTTTGAGTAGCCCCTGAGGAGTCATCATTGTCCACCTTGTGCTTCTAATTAATTATAGTTTTAATCTACGATGGGTAATGCACGCCCTAACAGGACAATATATAGCAGACAGAAAGGAAGTAATGAAGCACAAATATTTTAATATTTTCAGGTATTTATACTTTACTAGTCTATTTTTTTAAATAGGCTCATTACTTTATATTTAACACATTTGAAAGAAGATATCACCTCACATCAGAGCACACCTTCAAACACCAAAATGATATGAGTCACAATGGAGGGAATAACCCAAAAAAAGATAACCCTATGGGTGTATCCATCATCAGGGCTTATTGCATACAAATAGATGAAATTTATAGTAATTTATGCATCATTTATAGTCTATACTCAGGGGTTTAAATGGCCAGAATGATCTGAAACAGCATTCTTGGTGAGACTAATCTGGTAAGACTAGTCTGTAAGTTGTGATTGCAGTACTTCTAGCTAGCAATACGGAAACGGAGGATAAAGGAAGTAAATTTATTTTTTGTTTTTTTTAAGTGGCAATTCATTTCAAACGCAACATTTCTATCAGCTCAACAAATATCAGCCAACGCACAAAATGTTTGTGTGCAGTTTGTCACACAGCGTGTCTGCTAGCTAACAGTACAGCTACTGTATTTCACTCAGAGATGGAGAAAGATGTGAGAAAAACAGGATGGGAGAGAAAGAAGAGAGGTTATATTTGAAGGTAAGGACAGATCAGTGATGTCTGACAACCTGAAAGGCTTCAAGCTTCAACGTTCTGCAAAACAAACTGAGGCATATCCATTTTTGTATTATTCAAAGTTGTATGAAAATACTCAGCTGTTTAGTGTAGGATAAAAAGTTTAGCTTACTGTAATGTGGTGAATTTAAAGCACTGTGCTAGACTGGAGCACAGTGGCTTGGTCTTCTTGGTCAGTGTTAGCTTACATAAAGGGTAGCAGAGATTAATTTGAATTTTAGCTGATGATGCTTAGAATTATTCACTAAAGTCTCCATCTAACTGTATATTGTCTTGTATAAAGACAGCACAAACAGTATGCTGTCAGTGTAGGGGATGGAAATCAGTCAAGATAGCTTGTTGAATATATCTGCTTACATCATGTTGAATTCATTTGTGAAAACCCACAAAGAGCAGTCAACCTCAGCACAACAGCAGCAGGACAGGTCAGCTGATGACAGCCTGTACATTAAGAAAGACTCCTGGAGCTCCAGTTTAAACCCTGACGGCACACATTTTTCTGTTTGAGTATGGAGGCAAAGTGAAAAAAGTCTGCATTCCCATGTACTAATATTATTTTATTATTATATTAATATAGCACTTAGCTTTGCACAAAAATAGCTTGTAGAAACGTTGTCCAAAGAGCTACTTTTCAGAAGCTCTACCTTTTACAGACATTAAAGAACGTCTGTATTTTTGCCATCTCTGATAATAGTATGCTAAATATGGAACTGAAAGGCAGGAGGAAAGAAGATGGCCACAGAGAAGATTAATAGATGTAGTGAGGAGGAGGACATACTGAGGGTTGGTGTGAAAGGGGATGATGCTAGGGATAGGGTGAAATGAACTGAGCAGTCAAAAGTAGAAGAAATCTGACGTATTATCCAGTGCTTCTTATTATTATGTAAAACACTGCATATGAAACGTGGTTCATGAGTAAACTGAGTGGAGCTCTGAGCGGAGTATAAAACAATTCCACTTTTCCTGTTATATCTTTCCATCCTTGATTAGTGGGCTGCGGCATGCTAATCCTCTTACTGAGTGCTAAAAGAAAGTTATCAAAGCAAATTACCACTTTTTAATTACCTATTGCCACACGAAAGGAAGATATCTGAGGAATTACATTGGAACAGCAGATCTTTATGTGACCACACAGATTGGATTTAATAGGTTTTCCTCGCATGAGGTGACAAAGAAAAGCTTGATGGTGCTCTGACCTGCGGTGTTCCACCCTGCTTCCTGTTAGTGGCTGTGGTGGTTGTGATGTCACTGATGGACGGGGCGGAGTCTGAACGGTTGCCTCCGGCCGCAGCGCTGGACTGCGGGGTGATCGAAGAGGATGGCATATCGCCGACAAGACGCGCGCTCCCCTCCACTTTGATGTGGGGGTGCCCCTCAGCGGCCATGTTGAGGATGCGGAGGCCGTTATAGTAAAGGCCAGCCAGCTGTCCCTGGAACATGGCTGCACCTCGCTCGCCTCCGCCAACGCGCACTGTTGTCTGGCTGTTGAAGATGGTCAACTGGCGGCCTACGCAGACACACACAAACACCCGCAACCAAACACACATAGAAAAAAGGTGGACAGGCACGCAAATACAGCCACACGCACACACACACACATTCCAGTGGTCACATACGTGCGTACATACACACAAAGTAAGTGTTACACAATCCACCACCCCAAAGCCATGGTGAGAGGATGGGATAGATTATGCATGGCAGAGCAAAATCGAAGCCGTGGAGAACCGTGGAGAAGGCTGAGGCTGAGAGAGATAAGAGTGAGAACGGAGAACCAGAGAAGGAGAAGGGGGTGAAGAGACTGAGAAGTTGACGAGGAGGATGAAGAGGCAAAGAACAGGAGGAGGAGGAAGAGTGAGCAGATGAGAGGAGTCAGAGGGCCCCGAGAAGACGGGGCTGACAGATGGTTGCTATGGTGATGGCTGTGCGGCACGACATTGTATTTGAAGGAGCAACAGACAGGCAGACAGAGAGACAGAGATCTAGAGAACTGTTGTCACAGCCCTATGAAGCATGCACAGGTTATAAGCTCTAGCACTGCTCACTGTTAAAGGGACTAGAGTCTAATTTAAGGAGCTCTGCTGAAGTTTAGGAGGAAAACTTTTACATTTTTTCAAAAAGAATTGCTCTATTAGTCATTTCAAATTTACATAATTCTTACATGGCACAATACTTTGCATGTACTTTAATTTGATTACAAATTTTTTTTCAACATATAGTCTTTAGTAAAATGCTTTATCGTTTACAATTTGATAGGAAACAAAATTATTTAATAAAGCATCTTTTATCAGTACTTCTTTTCTATTTTCTGATTTATTCACATTTAAATCTCTCCATCGTCCCTTTAACCTGATATTATCAGATACACACTAACAAGATACGTTCACAGGCACTACAGTTTACACAGTATTACACACTACAGCTGCCCAACTTTTAAATACTTAGTTATGGATTTAGATTTTTAGATGTTAGTTGATGGTGCACAATAAGTCAACTGTCTTCAAATTGTATTTTTTAAGCTGAAAGTTTTAAGGAATTTTAATCAGGGTTTTTACCTTTGTCGAGTAGCCAATCGTCAACTACTCGACCGAGCCGATAGGGGATTCGCTGTCTGGCGATGGCCAGGCGCTCGTTATCAATGTTGCCTTTAATTTAGAGATGAAAACACAGTAGTAATTACGCACATCCAAACTTGGTACAGGAGCTGGATACAAAAAGAACAGCAATGAAAAGAAAGTAATGGTCTGCTCATTGTTGGCATGTCACTGTGTTAAGGTCAGCTTGAAGAGAAGAAGAGCTGAATTCACTACGTTTCCACTGAGCGGACTCTTACTCTCTGTTCATTGGGTTTAATTTAAAGAGACATTTCAGGGGTTAACATCTGCAAGAGCACAGGGAAATAATGTTACAGCTGTCACATACTGCCTATATGACTGACTGAGTTTAGTGTTACATACTCACACACACCTCACAACAACTAGCATTTAGCATTTTGGCTATGAGCTACCTAAAGCCTCATTGTGTTAAAGACTACTAACTAAGATTACCACTTTAAATATAAAACCCAACAAATATAAAAACAAATACTATACTCAACAAAATACACTTTTTTCTTTTTCTTATTTTTTACTCTAGTTAAACATTTATCTCCAAATATGACATGTTTTTAAATTATTATTTGACCAAAAATGCACCAGCTGTTATTATTTTCTTTTATGGTGAGAAAAAACAACTGTATTGAATATTTTCATAAATTACCTTTAACACTATTTAACAGGCCTAACATAACATAGCTGGCTAGTATACAAGCTATTGTAAAAACTACCTCATTTTATGGTTTAAAAAGTCATGTTTCATGTCAGATCACACATATTTCATTTCAAACACAATAACATAAAACAAAGCTGCAATTATATGTCTCAACCTCAGTGTTTGAATATAAACATTGAAAGAAAACACTGATTAGAAAGTGAGTTGAATTGAACTAAAGTATAGCTGGCGCTGCCCCCAGGACAGGCAGTGGTGTGATGAGTCAGAGGGTTGGGCCTATACGTGCGGGGCAGGGCCTACCTGAGGGATAACGCTCTATGACCGGCAGGTCGTCCAGCTGGAGGGTCGCATTGCCACCACTGCGGGTGAACCGAATTACGTGGTACTTCCCGTCGTTGACAAACTTGGAGCTCTCCTCGATGTTGATATCGTCAGTGCCGACATTAAACACTACTCTAATGTTGCCTTTGTCCTGAGGAGGAGGAGAGGTATGACAACATTTTATCAGATGTGTAAAGGTCAGGATATTACCAGTTTCATGTCTTTTGGGTATGCACAGCAGAGTGTGTGTGACCAAGTATTTGTGTATTAAATGGTGTAAAAGGACCTGATAAGTTTGACCAAAAACCAAAAGTTGAAAGCAGACAAACAAAGGGGTGGACAATGAAAACCAAAGCTGTCTTAAGTATGGTGAATTTCAATTCAATTCAATTCAATTTTATTTATATAGCGCCAAATCACAACAAAAGTCGCCTCAAGGCGCTTCAGAGATACAGAGGAAAACCCAACAATCATATGACCCCCTATGAGCAAGCACTTTGGCGACAGTGAGAAGGAAAAACTCCCTTTTAACAGGAAGTACTTGGCCCATGCCTGCTTAACCAGCAGCTGCAACTGATTCAAATAACTTCAATTGTTTACTCAGAATGATAAAACTATTTAATCAATGCTGAGATAGAACTGGGCTTTGGGTAGATGACCTTTGAACCTGGATCAAAATCTGCTCAGGTTAGTGACAAGTTATGCTGTTTTCCAACTTCATCTTGGATCAGTAAAGGAATCAGTCTTTCACATTCCAGTCATAGTCTAGACAGAATTGTCAGACATAATGGCCAAGGAAAAACTCCAATCCGGCCCAGTGGACAGTTTTGGAGGAGGATATACATTTTGGACTTTTAACTGTATTTTCATAAGTTTCACACTTTTTCCTCATGATTAAGACCACGGACATTTATACTATAGTAACAGATTAACAATTAAATGACAGAAAAT